TCCCTCCTCCTCTCGTTCCACCTCTCTTTGTCTCTCTTCCCGCGGCATGCGCCGCCACTCGGCCTCGGCCACGCCGCCTCCGCCCTCCGCCCCCAGCCAATCGTGTTGCAGCACCCCCCAGCGGCCAGCTGCCTTAACCCCTCGCCGGCCCGCCGCTCTTGGGGCGCACCATTCTCCCCCACAGGAGCGTCGCGCGGAGAGGCAGGCGGCGGCGGCCGCGGTATGGCCCGTAAGATCACGTCACCCTGGGCGCCCGAGGCTCCCAGAGCCTCCAGGTCTCCCAGGACCACCGGGACCGCCAAGCGCGCCCGCGTGCGCAAGTCGCCAGAGATCGAGATTCCCAGGGTCAAGACCCCCCGTGCCCCAAGACCTAAAAGACCAAGCCGTCGCCGCGAGATGCTGACTCTGATTCCCCAATCAGTTCTTGCACTGAAGGGGTCCTAGCGGAAATGCAAAGATTTGGCGAAAGTTTCCCGCCGATTTTGGTAGCTGGCTGGGTTCCCGGGTTCCCGGTTATTGGTTCCGGGCCGATTTGGGTGGGTTCTTGGGTTCCCGGGTTCCCAGTCGATCGTCTTATCGATCTTTTTTTCGATCCCGCGATTCATCAAACCATCCACTGATTGGGGCTTCTCTCCAGTGTAATTGTGAGACAGGAACGCATCGCCGCACGCGAGGGATGTGCCCGTCAGGCCTGGGCCTCGAACCTTACTCGAGAGCTTCATTTGGGGCATCGCCAACGCTACGTGCATCTTGGATGCGGTAGTGCCCTCTGCAAGGGCAGGGGGAGGGGGGTGTGGGATGCCGGGAGGAGGGACGATGAGGAGTGCGAGGAGGCGGGCCGATGATAAAGATTTCAGGCTGTCTTCTGCCGCCCTGGGAAACGGGCAAACCACGAACGGGTGAACAGAAACGATGATGATGTGCGTCCGTGGGCCATGTCCTTCGGTTTGCGCAGCAGTTCACCGCTCATGAAATGTAGCACGGGGAGGCCCCTTCCGACGAGGCCCTGCTCTGGGGCCAATCCGCGGCCGTGTCGGCTGGCGCGCCCGCGGGAGGTGCGCGGTCCAAGCTCGGGGGCCCACATGAAGAGGGGCCCTGCAAGGAGACCGCTTGCCCTCATTGCCCGTGCCAGTGGTGGGAGGTCTTGGCCGAAGCATATCCCGTGCCACAGTGCCCATAGTGCCATGCGATCGTTGTTTTATTGATGGTTCTGCCGAGCGGCGCGGGCCCTCTTCCCCCCTCCCCCCCTCCTCCCCCCCATGGAGTAGATCTTGGCCGTTTCTGACGCCTGTTTCGAGCAGGTGGAGCACCCCCCGCCCTCCCCCCCTTCCGCCCAATGTCGAAACGCCGACTTGGAAAACGTTCACCTGGGACAGGTCTGGAGCCAGACCCCCCCCCCGCCCCCCCCCCTCCGCCCAAGGTAGAAACGCCGATTGTAAAAATGTTCACCTGGGACAGGTCCGGAGCCAAACCCCCCCCTTCCGCCGAATGTCGAAACGCCGAATAAGCGTTCACATGGGACAGGTCTGGAGCCAGACCCCCCCACCCCCCCCCCCTTCCGCCCAATGTCGAAACGCCGAATAGGAAAAACGTTCACCTGGGACAGTCCGGAGCCAAAACACACCCACCTACCCCTCCAACTCCCTTCCGCCAATGTCGAAAACGCGACGGAAATACACCTGGGACAAGGTCCGGAGCCATACCCCCCCCTCCCCCCCTCCGCCCAATGTGGAAACGCCAAACAGGAAAACGTTCACCTGGGACGGTACGGAGCCAGACCCCCTCTTTCCCCCTCCCCTTCCGCCTAATGTCGAAGCGCCGAACAGCAGGGAAGCGTTATGACAGGTCCGGAGCCAGACCACCCTCCTCCCCCCCTTCCGCCGAAGGTCGAAACGCCGAAGTCGCAACGCCGAATAGGAAGGAAAACGTTCGCTATAGCCCCCCGCAGTTGCCAGACCCCCCCCTTCCGCCCCAATGTCGAAACGCCCGAATAGGAAAAAAGTCACTTGGGACAGGTCTGGAGCCAGACACCCCCCCGCTTCCGCCTGATGCCGAAACGCCGAATAGGAAAACTGCACCCGGACAGGTTCGGAGCAGACCCCCCCCTCCCCCACCTTCAGCCCAATGTCGAACACGCGAATAGGAAACGTTCACTTGGACAAAAGGGGGGGGGTTTCCCCCGGAGCCAGGACCCCCTCCCCCACCGGCCGCCGAATCGAAAGCGGAAGGAAAAAAACGTCACCTGGGACAGGTCTCGGAGCCAGACCCCCCCCTCCCCCCCTTCCGCCCAATGTCGAAAACGCCGATAGAAAACGTTCACCTGGACAGTTGGCGCCAGAAACCCCCCCCCTTCTTGGCCTTCTTTCCCCCCCCTTCCGCCCAATGTCGAAACGTCCAACCGACATAGGAACAACGGTTTTCACCTTGGACAGGTCCGGAGCAAGACCCCCCCCTCCCCCCCCTTCGCCCAACGTCGAAAGCCAACCTCCATTTCCCATACATCACCGAGCAGGGCGTCCGGAGCCAGACCCCCTCCCCTCCCCCCTTCGCCGAATGTCGAAACGCCGACAGGAAAAACGTTCACCTGGGACCAGTTCGGAGCCAAGACCCCCCCCTTCCCCCCCTTTTTTTTCGCCCAACCGTCCCCACATCGAAACGCAAATGGGAAAACGTTCCACCTGGGGCAGGTCTGGAGCCAGACCCCCCCCTCCCCCCCTCCGCCCAATATCGAAACGCCGAATAGGAAAACGTTCACCTGGGACAGGTCCGGAATCAGACCCCCCCTCCAACCCCCCATCCGCCCAATGTGGGAGTCGTTCAATAGGAAAACGTTCACCTGGGACAGGTCTGGAGCCAGACCCCCCCCTCCTCCCCCTCCGCCCAATATCGAAACGCCGAATAGGAAAACGTTCACCTGGGACAGGTCCGGAGCCAGACCCTTTTTGAGAGTCGCCCTTTCTTGTGCCTCTTCTCACACGTATCAGTGCCCTCTCCCTCCCCCTCTCCTCCTCCCGCTCGGTTCGCTCTTCATTCCCCTATCATCTCCTCCCTCCTCCCTCCTCCTCCTTCCCTTTCTCCCCATCCTCATTCGCCTCCGCTCCCTATTCCCATCCTCCTCGTTCTCCTCCACCGTCTCCTCCCCGTCTTCCCCTTCCCTTCCTCGGCCCCTTCTCCTTGTTGCGAGTATCCCCCCTCGCTGGAACACCAGACGTATCGGGAAGGCGGGCTGGGCGGTTCGCGTGAAATTTCTTTTCGACTGATATCCTGAAGCTGGACGTTACACTGGTAGAGGGCAAGTGGTTTTCAGCCCTTGGAGAGAGAGCACCTCTTATCACGCAAGGTGTGACTGCGCGCTTCGGGCGGAGGTGGTCGAGGAGGGACAGCAGGAGTAATTTTCTGAGGAGAAGGAAAAGGAATAGAAGGGGGAGAAGGAGGGAGGAAGAGGACTCGTGAGCCCCGAGCTTCGATGTCAACGCGGAGCGCAGATCGAACCCAGAGCTTCGGCGACGAAGCTCGGGCGCCCCTGCCTTCGACCCACGGAGCTCGCGCCCAGATCGCTCTGCGACGGAGGTCGGGACCCAGGTTGGACGATCTGGACACTGCCTGTGGGGGGGCGGCGCTCGGGAGGGGAGCGGGGGACGGGGGTGAGGGGGAGGAGCAGGAAGCGGAGGAGGAGGAGGTGGAGGAGGGGGAGGAGGGAGGAAGAGGAGGAGGAGGAGTAGGAGGAGGAGGACGCGGATTAGGAGGGGGCGAGGACAGGGAGCCCCGAACCTGGACTCGGAGTGGACTACTAGGACGAGAGAAGAGGACGAGGTCGACGACGATGACGGCTATGGCCTGCGGCGTGGCCTGCCGCGCGCCCGAGGTCCTGAAGGTGGTGTTGACGCCCCTGGAAACCCTCGTGGTGATCTACGGGACCTGCGGCAGAGGGTACGACTACAACAACAACAACAGGTCGACAGCGCCCTTGCGCCTCCTGCACCTCCTCCTCCTCCTCCTCCTCGTCCACTTCCACCGCCTCTTCCATTCCCCCTTCTCTTCTTCCTCCTCCTCCTCCTCCTCCTCCTTCTCCTCCCCTACTCGCCAGCGTCAACCCGGCGGAGGCTGGCGAAGGTACAAGTGGCCCCCCCACCCCCAAGAGAAGCCAACCCTGGGGCTCGCATGGTCTCTGGAGACTGCCAGGTCACCCACGAGCGGGGACCTGGAGACCGACGGCGACGAGACAGACGTCGGCAGCGTGAACGACCCCGACTCCGCCGCAGATGTCTCCAAGCACCCCGTGCGCTTCTCCCTGCTCTGGCTGCTGTGGATCTCGGAGAGGAAAGGCCAACACAAGCGTTCGGAAGTCCGCGCCGGGCCCCCGCTCGGCGGCGCCTCGGGCCCTCCCCCCCGTGCCGCGCCCCGCGCGCCACGGGTGGGGCCCATCGCCGGCTCCGGAAGCCCGCTCGGACCTCCGAAAGTCGATGATCGTGCAGACCTCTCTTCTCTTCTTAGGATCGTGTTCATCCTGCTCGGCGGCGTGCTCGTGTTCCAGTGGGCCAGGTCCACGGAGCCGCCCTGCACTGTGAGCTGCGTGGCCGCGATGGTCTTCGGCATGTACGCCGTTGGCAGCCTCATCACCGCCTGCCTGGCGCTGTGCGCGCCCGACACCCTCGCATCCGCAGGCCGGCCCTGGCTGGTGAAACGCAGCTCGCCCCCTTCTCCTCTTCCTGCTGTTGCTGGTCCTCCTCATCCTCCTCTTGCGCGTTGGGCGGACTTAGGCGACTAAGGCGCCATGGCCTTGAAGGCACGCGAAGGCAGACAATAAGTAGTAAAGAGAGGCAGTGATAATGAGAGAAGACGATCAGCCCGCAATGGCACATAGTAATCTTCCTCCTCCTCCTCCTCCTCCTCCTCTTCCTCCTCCTCCTCTCCCTTCCCGAAGGATGATGGGGCGATGAGGCGGGGGGTTAGGCCGCCTAGAGAAGGAACTCAAGATTCTACAACTGTTGTTAATCCCCAATTTCCCTCTCCTCTATTCTCCCTTGCACCTCCCTCCTCCTCCTCCTCCTCCTTTCCCATCCCCTCCTCTACCTTCCTCCTCCCCCCTCTCTCCTTCCCTCCGTCCCTCCCTCCCCCGCTCCCTCCTCCCTACTCCCTCCTCGTTCCTCAATCCTCCTCCCTTCGTCCCCCTCCCGTCTTCCCCCTCCCTCCTCCCGCCCCTGCCCACCCTGGGCGGTGGCCGCGGCCTCGAGCCTCGATCCTCGACCCTCGATCCTCGATCCCCGACCCTCGATCCCTGGATCCCCGGAGCCTCGAGCCTCGATCCTCGATCCCCGACCCTCGCGGATCTCGACCCTCGATCCTCGGGTGCGGCGCGGGGCGCGCGGCTCCGCGGCCCTGGCGCCCTGGGAGCGCCGCCGCGCGGCCGCGCCGCCCGCGAGCGGCCACCGCCCGGGCCTGCGAGCGGCGCCGCGCGCCGCTGCCTGGGCCCCTGCCCTCGCCTGGGCCCCTGCCGGCGCCCCTCGAGTCGCGCCGTCGAGCGCCGACCCCTCGAGCCCTCGCGCCCCCGAGCGCGGCCCCGCGCCGGGCCGCCGCGGGGCGCGCGCGCCCCGCCCCGCCCAGGCTGACGGCCTCGCCAGAACTCAGCCCCGACCCAGGCGCGGACGGCGAGGGCGCGGCCGAGCACCACCGCGCCGACGGCCACGTCGGCGCCCCACGCGCGAAGAGGCGCCCCTCCCCTCGCCCTCGGGCTCCTCCTTGCCCTCCTCCTCGCCCTGCTCCCCCCGTCCCGCCTTCCGCCCCCCCCCCACCCACGCTTCCTTCCCCTTCCCATCGCGTGTCCGTCTCCCCCCCCCCCCCACCCCCCCCCCCCCCCTGCCCCCCTCTCCCCCCCCCCTCGCCCTGCTCCCCGCTTCCCCGCTTCCCCCTCGCCCTGCTCCCCCTTCCCCGCTTCCCTCTTATCCTGCTCTCCCTTGCCCTTCCCCGCCGCCACCCGCGGCGTTGCGGACAGATCTGGGGGAGCGGGAGGGGCCTTCGGACGTGGCGAAGGGCTTTCGTCGGGCGTTCTCGTCGGGTCTCGGCGGGTGTTTTCGTCGGACGTTTGGCAGGGAGGCTCCTCCCTCCTCCTCCTTCTCCTCCCTCCTCCCCTCCTCCTCCTCCTCCTCTCCTCCTCCCCATCCTCCTCCTCATCCGCCTCCTTTCATCCTCCTCACTCCCTCCTCCTCCTCCTCCTCCTCCCTCCTCCTCCTCCTCCTCCTCCTTCTCCTCCTCCTATGTGGGTCGGACGTTTTCGTCGGCCCTCGGCGGTTCTCCAGCCTCGGGGCGTTTTTGCCAGCAGCTGCGCCCGCCGAGTGCGCTCCCGGGGGGGTTCCGGGGTCGTCCCGAGCGGCCGCCGCAGACTTGAGTTTTGAGCCGGTAACCAGACGCCGCAAACTTGAGTTTTGGGCGGCGGCCGATAACCCCGAAGTAGGACTGCTACGATCGGCATCGACCCTTGTCGAACCCATGCCCCCGAACCACGCAACCATTGGAAAATACGCGCGCGAGTTTCCCCACTGGGGATCGGCACCGAGATAAGGTGATGCAGATCAGAGGATAGGGGATAGGGGCATGCTTCAGGCTGGTGATATGTGGAAAAAGGACGGCGGATCGGACGAAGGGGGGACGGGGGGGGGGGAAGGACCTTCCTCTGCACCATCTCGTGCCCCCACTCCACCTCGCTCCGCTCACCCTTCCGCCTCCCCCCACTTTCCTCGTCCTTGCCTCCGCCCCCGTGGCTTCCCTCCTGCTTGCATGACGTCGATCTGAAAGATACCAGAGCCCTGGTCGAAGACGAGGAACGGCCATCTGCGAATACCCGCTTCGTCTGGACGTATGTTGTGACGTTTTATGTCAATGGGTCAGTGCTCCCGAGCGGGAGAGCAAACGACCTGTTCGATGATAATTCTCAGCGTCTCGATGACGATGCGCCGAGGCCCAACCACACGTTGTGGACGTAATTGTCGTAGTGCCCCCCGTCCCCGTCCCCCTCCCCCTTGTCCCTCGCCTGTGTCTCTTTCCCCCTGTCCCCCTCCCTGTCCCCCCTCTGTCCCCCCGTGTCTCCGTCCCCCTGCTTCCCCAGGTCATCCCGACCGCCCCTGTCCCCCTCCCCGTGACCCCCCCCCTCCTCGTCCCCTCCGCCCATCTCGTCTTACCCCCTCGCCCCCTTCTCCTACCCCATTGCCCCCCCCCCCTTCCCCGTCGCCCCCCCTCTCCCCCCCTCCCCTTCCACCCTTCTCTGCTCCTCCCTGCCCCGAAGGATTGGTCAGAGCTGTTTGTTTCCTGAGTTCTGGAATGGGTTTGCCGGGTTTCCGCCACGTGGCCGCCCGTGCCGCCTCCTGTGCGCCTCCCGGGCGCCCCGTGCGGTGGGTGGGTTTCCCGAGGTTGCGCCACGCTGCCGCCCGTATCGCCTCGTGGGCGCCTCGTGGGCGCCCCGTGCTCTGAGCGTGCACGGCGTGCACAGCTTTCACCACGTAGCTT